GATAATGTCGTACAATTAAAAATTGTATCAGTGGCATATATAGAGAATGTCAGTACATCGTTCAAAAACATAAAAGAATAAAAATTGCGATTACGGCAGCTGTTGGTGCAATTACAGTTTGGGCAACAAAAATGTCAGAGGAAAAACGACATTATAAAAAGAAACGTACTTGGATAACAGAATTTTTTCAACAACGACGATATGGATTTTATTATATGGCTTTACCTATATTAAAATTAGAAGATTTGCGCTTTCGAAATTATTTTCGAATGTGTGCTACACAATTAGAAGAATTATTGCAATTATAATAGCGTCAAAGATTATACTCGATAGTATGCGATTCGTGAACCAATTGAAGCAGGACAACGGTTATCAATATGTTTAAGATATATATAATACGATATAAAATAAATATTCTTTTAAGTTACAAGGTTGCTAATTTTCCTATTTTTTTTGTAGATATTTAGCAAGTGGAGATAGTATGACGTCTATGTCATACCAATACCTTCTTAGTTTGACTGCAATCTCAATTAAAATCATTTCAGAAACATATCAAGTCGATTATATCTATTGTATAATTGCATTTTAATGTATCTTATATTGAAGCATTAAAATAACCCTGCTCTAATTCATAGCCTATTATATATTATATTTATTAATAAAGAATAACTTTCTAAATTATAAGGTCACTTTATAATAGTCATTGCAAGTTTAAAAAGTTATTAATTGGTGGTTTATCATTTATGTTTTCGATGTCGATTGAGGTTATGACCTCAATCGTATACATATTAGACCTATTAGGATCGACTTATTAAAAATAAATTATTCATAAATTAATCATTGTTTCCGTATCTCATTCGATGCCATTTTTCGTGATATTTTTCTGTAGTATCACAATCAGTTATCTTTTGTTATTATATCACATTTATAACACGTGTACTACGTGGCTTGCACACGATGGACATATATATACCCTCGTGAAGTTAGCCCGCAAGATGAAAATTTCTGAACGATCAATACCCAGACAGCACAGGATATCCTATGGACATCCGTTTTATGTCCATTTCTGGTCGGGACATCCATGAGCCTTACAAGCTGTCCATAGGATATACATTTGTGGACACTATAAGGATATCCCCAAAAGGATAAGTTTGTATGTCCATATGCTATCCTCATTTGTACATACGTTATCATACATATCCGTATTATCAAAATATTTACCGGAGATACTTAAATATATATATATATATATATATGTATTAAACAAAAATTTACATTCACTGAATAGTTATTTAAACAATATAATAATTAATGTTAATAACTTTCATGATAAAATTTTATTAAATTTTTCTTTCATAACTAAGGAATTTAAAATAATTGTTTAGATAATTTTTTTATAAAAATGTAAAAAATGTGAAAAAAAATGTTTGCATAAATTTGGTATAAGACGCTAATCGCTTCTTAATCCAATAGTTTTACATTATATTGTACTTATAATTTGTATTTTATTGTCATTTGGATTATCGATCATGTTATTTTGTATGTTAACATTTA